ATTATGAGAAAGCATGCGCCCAATATATGTGAACCACCTACTAAAAATATTGCAATACAAAGAAAAGAGTTAGAGGTGCAGACAAAGAAGAAAATGATCCGTATGAGACAATCAAGAGAGGAGAAAATGTTGGATGAAATAGAAAATGCGGTGCGAGATATTCGGAAAAAAATCATAGAGCAAAAGGGACAATCTAGTAAGGCACGACAACAATTTCACAATCATGCACAAATAAAGGTGATAGCAAGAGGAGAACACTTGGCCAACATAGAAGTGTTGGCCTTCTTGTTTTGATGATGTTTAACAAACAATTTATCACTAATGTTGTTTGTCTAGTATTTGTGTTTTCTTATTTATTATAGACAAACAACGTTGTTGGAGGTTGGATGGATTGCGCTTCAACGATGATATCCAAAGGAGGTTGGCGGAATAGTGGAGTGAAGTATTGCATTCAAGTTCAAGATCCAAGTTTTAGCTTCATCCGCAAGTGTACCAAGATAGAGCTTCGTTGAAGATCAAGATTGCTTGGGTAATTTAGTTTAGGAGTTTATATTATGTGTATGTGTACCAAGTTGAGCTACAATGAAGATCAAGATAAAGCTTGGGTAATCTAATTTAGATTTTATATTATGTGTGTTAAGTACCTTAAGCTCAATATCATATACACACACGTATTTGGTTTCTATGTATATATATAGTTATATATATACATGCATGGTTTTGGGTTTTTCATGTTTTGAATACTTTTGCAAAATAATGAGATTTCACAATTGGGAAATAAAAATTGGAAAATTCTTTTTGTAACATGTTCAAAATATCATTTGCAAACATTTCTCAAAGTTTCATCAAGTTTGGAATTGATTTGTTATGTTTAAAGGAATTTACAAATTCACGTTTTCGTTCGTGCACATGTTCGTGCATGTTTTACAAAACTGATGAGTTTTCACAAATGGGAAGTGATATTTGAAAAATTCTTTCTCTGACATGTTTATCTATATATTTAGAAACGTTTCTCCAGTTTTTACTATTTTTGGAATTGATTTACTGTGCCAATTGATTTTACAAAATCGTATATGTTAACAGTTTTTCAGAAACTGTAAATTTGTGTTCAAATATTTATTTCTCTCAACTGGGAAAATACTTTTCATAAATCCTTTCTCTGACATGTTAATCTACATGTCTAGAACATTCCCACAAAATTTCATAATTTTTGGAGTTCATTTACTATTTTAAATTGATTTTACAAAACAGCTGCGCACTGCTACAGTAACTCCGGTCGACCGGAAATGTCTCTGGAACTTTTTCAGGTTTGTAGAGTGCGAGCGGTCGACCGAAAAAAGGTCGGTCGACCGCCCAGCTCTCAGAATGCCCATAACGGTTATTTTTTTGTATCCGTTGGAGGGGTTTTTAGTCTTTTGGTTTGGGCTTTTGTTTCAGGTATTGGGAGGCTATAAATAACCCCTTATACCTCAGTTTTAACAAGATCTAAGAGAATGTTTTAGAAAGAGTTTAACAAGAGAAAAGTTTTTAAGAGGTTTACAAGTTTTGTTTAAGGGTTTAGTGTTTGTTTAAAAAGCTTTTAAGCATTTACAAGAGTTTGATTTGTGGAGCAAATTTCACGAGAGCAAGTGGAGATCATCCTTTGGTGTTTGAGCATTCACTCTTCTCCTACTCTCTTGTCATCTTTAGAGAAGTGTTTCTAAACTCATCTAGCAATTTATTATTTTGATTATAATTTCCATAAGCTAGATTTATATTGAGTTTAGTTTAATCGTTTTATTGATACTCTTTGTTCACACACAACCTATTGAGCTTATTGTATTTACATTCATAGTATAATTTAGGGTTGTGGGTTTGTGACATTGAGAGTGAGCTTAATTGAGTTCTCATCTTGTTAGAGAGAACAATCATTTGTTATATTGTGCTTATTGAGAGATTCACTTTTCAATCAGATTTAGAAAATATTAAATTGGGATCTATTTATATAAAGAATTAGTATAAACTGAATCCTGTCATCAGAAATAGAAAAAAATGAAATGGTTCAAATAAAATGAAAATGATGCAATATTTCTTACCTTCATTCATTTCGAGTCTAAAAAAAATATGGTGGAAGAAAATTATGGAATGCAAAAGAGAAGAGAGGATGTTGTGTTACCTTCTGTACTTTTACTTGCATGAAGAGGAGAGAATAGAGAGGAAGACAGAGATTGAGTTATGGAGTCTATGTTGCCTTAGCTATAGCTATTGGGGAGGATTTTATAGATGAGTCTGAAGGAGATGAGGACTTACGGGGACAACCAGCAAGAAAGGTAGCCACTAAAGTGGTAGACAAACCAAAAAAGTATCGAGGGCAAACTAAATGTGAAAAAGTTCATGCACGAAGTGTACATGATCGACAGGTTATTTTTTTAAATGGATATGGACAACCTATTGGACCGTCAGATAAGGCATGCAGTGAACTTAGCAGTTTCTTAGGCACACTTGGAAGAAACTCAAGTTTTGCACCTCTGGATAAGGAAAATTGGCACAAAGTTGAAGAAAAAGATAAAGAAAAAATATGGGATTATGTTAAGGTACGATTTTTATAATTAATCGCTAATTTCCTGTTGTTCTTTCCCTCTTATTTATATCAAGTATTTATGATAAAAAAATTTTATTGTCAAATTATGTTAATGTAGGAAAAATATAACATTCTGGAGGAAGGAAAAAAATGGACCCTAGAAACTGTCAATTGTGCACGGAGGCGCTGGAAATCCATATTGAAGAAGAAGTGTTTTGACGGGTTCAAAAATGACAAACAAAGACTAAAGACACGTCTAAATACTATACCTGAAATAGAATTTAAAGCCTTGCTCAAATTCTGGAACTCCGAACAATCAAAGGTAATTTTTAAACGACCTTTTGATTTGCAACTTTTTAAACGACCTTTTGATTTGGATGATTACAATTTTGCTTCGAATGATTTTTAGCTGTTCATACTGATCAATTTGTGAGATGATTTAAACACTCTGTCTAATGATTATTGAACATGTGGTTATATTATGCTATCAAGGCTGAAAGTCTTTTGTAGAATTATCATATAAAATAAATTATAAGAGAGGTTATTAGTGTGTCAATTTTGCTACCAAGAGACACGCATAAGAGTATCCAAACATTGATTTGATGAAGTAAATTATAGTAGTTTTGGTTGGTTGGAGATATTGTAGTAGCAAGTGATCTTATGGGGATAATCCTTCAGTTTTTGCTGTTTGCTTTTCTTCAAATATGTTGTTATGGGCATATAATATGTCTGTATTGAACATTTTCTTAAAATAAAAGGTTCAGTTATTAATGGATTTTTGGTGATATTATAATAGTTATAGATGGGCAGCTATCTACTCCAATTTTATGTGGATTTGCATATTAATTTCTATGTAATGTCATCTTGAAGAATTACTGAGAGTAAAAAATGGTTGTAGGAATAAAAGGTGAATATGAAGGCTTGGAGTCTATCATAATCTACCTTATTACTTCAATTTGTGTAAACTATACTATGGACTAGCATTATATTGGTAACTTGGTTTTGATGATGGTTAATATGAACGAAAGTGTATGCATATACGATTGTATGATTGCAGTAATGATGATAAACATTGTATCACCTTAAAAAAATTGTAACTGCTGAGAAAACGGTGAGGCGTATTATGTGTAAATTTGACGTTTCTTAAAAAAAATCTAATCGAAATAGTTGCTTGCAGTATTGTGCTCTAGGTTTTTGGCAATCTCTTAGTTTATAATGTTTAGGTTTTCCGATTGCAAGCTCCAAGTTTTGTGGCGTTATTGTTCAAATTTCTTATTTCTAAATGAGGCAGATCAACTTATAATTTTAACAATTGATGCGGGCACTCCTTAGTTAGATCTTTATTAGTCAAGGCATATTTGTTGTCAGTTATACATGTCTATTTAGATGTGGGAACTTACGCTATATGTGGATATCGGTATTGTATGTTTTGAACTTTTTAGATTAGAACTTGGAGGTATATTTGAAAACATTTCCTCACATGACTATACTAGCTCAGCTCATGTACTGCAGTACTGATATAGGTCTATGGTATAAACATTCAAGTTTGTAATAATTTGCATGAATTAATCCGGTGATCTAAATTACAACACCTATCAAATTGGCCATGTACTTCTTTTCCTCTCGTTATATCTTCTATTTGTTATTGATGTGAAATTGGGCATGATTTTTATCCAAATAAGAAGAAAAGTTCCAAAATTGGAATTCATACTTACAGGAGTTATATAGGCTCGTTTATTGTTTCTTATTCACTCGTTTATCGTTTCATACTAATGGTCTGGTTGTTTTTTAAATCCACGTTCCTTCTATATGTGTAGAAAACAAGTGAGACCAACAAAGCAAATCGTGAAGGTCTAGAATATATGCACACTACGAGGACAATAAGTTTTGCGAGGATTCGCCAAAAAATGGTATTTCAATTTTTTTTAATGTTCCTTATTAACAGTAGCCTTTCTTTTTGTTTGTTTTTAATGTATTTATCAATATTTTAACTATCATGTCTTTATTATAGGAAAATGAGTTGGGAAGACCTCCAAGTGAAGCTGAAATGTTTATTGAGACCCGTAAAAAGAAGATAAATCCACAAGGAGAGAAAACAATCAATTTGATAGTAAGAATGTGCCATATTTCCTAAATATTAATATTCATATATTGCTTTTTAGGTCCTAATTTTCATATAACATGCATAGCAACTAAATATAAATTTTGCTAATGCAGGGTGCTTTAGAAGAACTCAAATCTCAAGATGAAGATGATGATGCATGGGATTTAGTCAAGAAAGATGAACATCCTGGACGTGTACGTCTTAGGGGGAGGGGTGTCACTAAAACCATGCTCCAGAATAAAAATAAAAAGATCATGGATTCCTCTGAGCAAGTTCCAGAATCTGTTAAGTGATGAACTTTTTTGCGATTTAATAATGGAGGAATATAGGATTTGGTTCATGGTTTCGCTGAGCTTTTGACTGAAACACTTGGGCAAACAATTGATCCGGCGGCTATTGCAAGACTTATTGCACGCACAAGATCACCTGAGCAAGGTGGTAGTGCTCGAAATCATGATCATCCTCGCTCATCTGCAAGCAGCCATCAGCCACGAAATGAGGTAGTTTTTTCTTTTGTTATATCTTTCTTTTTCTTTTTTGTGTATTATGACAACTTTATCTAGTCAAACTTAGATTCAGCTCTACGTATGGAATTCTCAACTGATTGAATTAATGTATGTGAGTTCAGACCATCGTATCTCAGTACCATTCCCATCATCAAGTGCAAGCCCAAAACTTTAACAGCTATGAGCATTCCCCATTAGTTTCTTTCTAATTTCAACTTATCAATCCATCTAAGTCAGTATATTGTTATAACAGCTATGAGCATTCCCTTTTTCTCTCTCTATTATGCATCTGTGGTCTCTTGTGATTTAAAGCTACCTGTACTAATATTCTCACATATATACTGTACATACACTTATTCTGTCATATTGTTATACTAATAAAAATCTATATGGAGCTAGGTGGAGATCTAGATATGATATACAAGGCTTCAAACATTTCAGAAGACACTTTTGTGGATAAACTAACTTTTGCCATATTCTTTTGTCCATCACTATAACTAGGGCAACTGGGGTAGTTTATAACTCTATTATGTATGTCACTTTCTAGAACTTTATACAATCAAATGTTTTTTTTTTGCCAAAGATAAACTTAGGAATATAATACCCCCCACATTATTCTCTCTCTCCACATGCTGCCCAATCCCATCTCTTGGACAAGACCAAGACCTACACAACAATTTGTAGAATCTTTAGACTTTAGCTTTTGTTTAAGGTACACAAAAGATAGATAGGTATTCCTTTCTAGATGTGCTTCAATTAATGATGAATACATGTGAGGATCTCTTGGTTATTGATAATGAAGTTGCATATGTTCACAGTGCATTTCATTCTACTTGTGCTTACTCATCTTTTTATCTTGATGTATGCAGGAAAACATCTGAAGATCCATGCTTGTCGCTCTTTGGGGGATTTATTTGTTGTGAAGATTTAGAACTTAATCGTCTCAATAGAGACATTTTGACCTTTTGATTAAGTAGTAGCTCTTTGTTTTAATCATGGAGGATTTGTGATATGTGCTTAATTTGGTAAGTTTGTGTGTAAAACTTGTGAAGAATTATCTCAATCCTATTGCTATAATCTTGTTCTTCGTTGTAATGAATTGTTCATTATATTAATGCTAAAGTTTGGTTAGTTTGTGTGTAAAACTTGGACTATTGTTTCTTTGTATGTGATGGACTGATGTGTGATATCTGAGTGATTTGTTTTGATCAGTAAAAAATGAAAACCGTCCCCTTTGGTATAAAAATCGTCCCCATAGATCACAAACAAAACCATTCCTATAGACAATATAACTGTCCTCTTAGGTTAAGCTCGAAACCGTCCCCCTTGGTATAAAAACCATCCCCATAGAAACCGTTCCCCTTGCTATCAAATTGTTCCCATTGCTTAGAACCTAAAAACCGTTCCCCTTGCTATCAAACCGTTCCCGTTGCTTAGAACCTAAAAACCGTTCCCCTTGATATACAACCGTTCCACTTGCTCTAAACTAAGAACCGACCCCTTATCACAACCGTTCCCTTATAGTACTATTGGGGACGGTTTACAAATCGTTGCACTAGGAGCATAAACCATCCCATTAGACCTACGGGCACGGCTACAAACGAGACGGATGTAGAACCGTCCCCATAGACCTAGTGTGACGGTTTCCATGCCTAGGGTGACGGTTCAGAACCGTCCCCATAGGCCTCAAATGTGGTAGTGAGGGTTTCCTTGTTTGGGTTTCTAAATATTAATTCCATTAGATACAGGGAAAATGACCTAGGTAGACTATGCTTAATAGATAGAGCCTCCACTTCATCATCTAGCAGCCCTTCCCCTGGGGGCGGATGGAGGTGAACTTGCTGTAGCGCTCTGACGCTCTTGTTGTTGTTCTTTTTCTTTTATTTTATTTCTCATTTTCAGGCGGCTCAGAGCATCGGAGAGTCGCAGGGTGACAGAGTTCTTGCATAGTCGCCGTCGCGTATTTTTACTAGTATTGACTCCACAGTGATCTTATGTTTCCATTTAGTCATTTGAGTTTGTACTCATATTGTTAAGGCAATATGCCTTAGTACGATTTCTAATCGATTCACGTTGAGACATATCATGTTATTTTAGACTCCATATGTATATAAGTTGTATTCTAGTTTAGTTTATTTGGGACATGATTTCATTTATGAGATATATCTTTCCGTATCATGTCTATAGTATTTATTTTCCTTATTTGCCTGTTTTGTACCTTCATTTATATTGGTTTCCACTAGAGGATATTACTGTGATTGGTGAAACATGTTGTTGCACAGTGGAGGTGCATGACAAGTTTGACATCTCTGGGTTCACCTTAGACTGCAGCCATGTGTGAAAACAGGGGCGTCACATGGGAAATATAAACAACAAGCAATATACAAAGGCGATATAAGATATGAACATAAAAATAAGTACGCCAATGCAATCATAAACAAAAGATATATTCACGGAGTTCGGTCCCCACGACCTACGTCTCCGCTCTTCACCTAGACGAGATCTTCACTATCACAACCGGGTTTTCTACGCTCACCCGAATAATATTTATAATGACACACTCGGTTTTCTAGCTCTTCGAAAACCTTTCACCACTCACAATATAACTACACTCCACACCTTCTAAGTGTTGGTCTCTAGCCCGTGTCCTTCCTCAAGTGCTCGGAATTACCACCTCTCTCTAGGCTTTACTACTGACCCCACTCCTTTTGGAAGTGACCTCGTCTCTCACCACACACTCCTCTCGGTGTACTAGTATAATACAAAGTGAATCTCACAATTAAAGTTCACAACAAATTTGTTCTCTACAATAGATGAGAACTCAATAAAGTGAATCTCACAATTAAAGTTCACAACAAATTTGTTCTCTACAATAGATGAGAACTCAATGAAAGCTCACACTCAATTGTTACAACTCTCACCAACCCAAATATACTATATATGAAAATACAATAAGCTCAGTGGGTGTGTGTAAACAATTAGTGAAATCAAATCAACTAAACTTAAATTTAAATACTAGCTTAATAGAATGATAATCAAACAAAATAAATTCAAAGCTAGAAATTGAGTTTAGAAAACTTCTCTATAGATAACAAGAGATAGAGGGAAAATAGTTGGATGCTCAAACACCAATAGATATTCTCCTCAAGCTCTTATGAAATTGATTTCACAAAATAAAACTCTCAAATGCTTAAAAGCTTTTAAAACAAACTTAAACCAAACATAAACTCTTGTTTAAAACATTCTCAAACTTGTTTAAAACACTCACATGGTTACCCTGGTACTGGGGGGGTTTGAGGGTTTATATAGGAAGAGAAAACAACAGTGAAATCCCCAAACAAAAGACCAAAAAGCCCAAAGAATCAGAAATCTGATTCTGTACAAAATATAGCCATTGGGCGATCGGCGGTTGATCAAGAAAAACGCGCAGTCGACCGCGAGCAGCTCAGAAACAAATTCTAGGCTCAGGAAAATATCCGGTCGACCGTGACGGTCAACCGCAAAACTCTCTGAACATCATCCGGTCGACTATCGACTGTCACAGTCGACCGCGAGCCATCAAAAAACATTCTGAGTCTCTGGACTCAAGGCGGTCGATCGTGGCAGTCGACCGCAAACAGATACATGAAATTTTAGGTTTTGAAAGTTGTTTTTTCTGATTTTGAAACCTTGTTTAAAAATATTAAACAAATTCAAAAAAATATAAAACTTTGGGAAATGATTGTAGACATGATAATAAACATGCTACGAAAACCGGTTTTCAAAAAGGACCTCCCAAATGAAAAATATTATTATTTTATAAAATAGTCCAAAACATGAAAATGTAAACATATGAGTTTTGACATTTTAGCTTAACCATATTTTAAAACATTACAAAATAATTATATAGACATAATAAAAGATGTATATGATTGTTATTAAGTCCATAAACCAATAAAATAATATTTTCACAAAATTACATATTCTATGCAATATATTCTTAAACATAATAGAAGAAACAAATGAAAATGTGAATAATGTTGTTTGTTGTTTCATCTCCATGTAGTTAAACCAAAACACAATAATAAATATGAAATATGTAATTTCATATTTATAAACATAGAAACCCAAAAACATATATGTATATATATAACTATATATTCATAGAAACCAAAACTAAAATGTGTATATATATATATATATATATATATATATATATATATATACATTATATTGGTGTATATATGATTGAGCTTAAAGTACCAACACACATAATATAACACCTAAACTAAATATTACCCAAGCAATATTGATCTTCAATAAGCTTGATTTAGTACACTTTGCAGATGAAGCTTGAACTTGGATCTTCAACTTGAATTGCAAGGCTTCAAATCATAACAAAACTTTGCCAAATGGCCAAATCTACCACAAATATCACATTCAAAAATATGTGGTCTACTAGAAACATTTGGCAAACGTAATTTTTTTTTCAAATCAAAACAATACTTGGCCTAATGACCAAAACGACAACAAAGATCACATTGATACACATGAGTATGCTTATGATGAACAATGGGTGCATGTGTGTGTACATGTGATGAAGAAACTTGATGAGATGCACAAGGGATGAACAATGGGTGCATGTGTGTGTACATGTGATGAAGAAACTTGATGAGATGCACAAGGAGCATTAACATTTTTATGTTTGTGTGCATCATAGAAACTTGATGAGATGCACAAGGAGCATTAACATTTTTATGTTTGTGTGCATCATAGCAAAATTTAGCTAAATGGCATTTACGACCGTAAATAAAGTACTTGTAAACTTTGCTATATATGTGTGCATAATGAGTAGATGATTTTGACTTAGACTTGGCACACATATCCATAAGCTTCTAATGATTATCAATGCATATTTTCAAAGTTGAATCTAAAGATGAAATGCGTTTATTCACAAGATTCAAATCTTTATTATTAGGCACATATGCATTTTTATTAGATGTAGAACATATATAGTCATTTATAAAGTAAGCAGTATCAATTTTTATGTTCTCTACTTCTAATGTGGCATTATCTTTTTCATTAGATAGGTTAGTTATAAATATGGTTAATTTTTCACTTTTCAAAATTAACATGTCATTGTTTTCATTAACCATGGTATTTTCTTTTGCAATGACATCCAATTTTGACACTAGCTCCTCATGATCGGATTCTAAATTATCATGCTTGCTTTTTAAAATTAATAAAATCTTTATGAAATTTGTTATAGACATGTAATAATTTTTCACTAGCACAAGCAAGTTCATCACTAGATAAATCATTAATGGATTCGAACTTGTAAACCTCACTAGGGCTATCGCCTAGTGTCCGTGTGCATGATGCTCCATATGAACTTGAAGCGGGATCCTCCAAAACTTTTCGGATCGCCTCCAAGTCCCCTTGATGTGCTTCAATAAATTTTCATAAGGTGTAAGTACTATAAAAATGAACAAATTTGTTAGACATAGATGAATTAAAAGCATTTAGCAAATATTCTAACAAAATCTTGTTCATTGTAAACATTCGATGGTCATTTTATTCCACTTGGATTTCTCCAAAGTGGGCACAATATGAGCATTATCTATAATTTCCCATAAATCGAAGTGTCTAGATTGAACAATAAGTTTAAATCTAACACACTATTGGTATAGGAAAAATTATCTAATCTAGGAGCAATATTGATGGCATAACCTAAACAAGGTGCATTGTTCATATCCATAATGTATATATGCAAGCAAGATAAAAAAAATCAAAAATTAGATTAGCACAAAAAGATAACTTGGATCTTTAACTCAAGGTGATTAGACCTTAAATCAAATAGCACCAAGCTCTGATACCAATTGTTAGACCCTAGAAGGGGGGTGATTAGGGTCTTATGCTAATCTTATACGATTTTATACCAATTAAAACTAATTAATAAATTATTCTTGCAAGATAGATATACAATATGTTATGAGCAAGAATATAAAATATGAACAAAGAGATATATCCTATATGGTGAAATATATGCGAGGATATATAAACAACACAAGGGTAAATAATCGAAACTAGAT